GCTTTACTCCCATCACCCTGCATTTCAATCTAATTCTCCAAGTGTCACTTATCATTTTCCCCCAAATTTAACAGCTGAAACCATAACTGAAGTTTTTCCATGGAACAACTCTACGTATCTGTGTGATTTTTCTAGTCTTTACTAACTCTGAACGTGCACTAAATTTCGATCCTCTTTCTATTTTAACCTAAGCTACCCCGAGATGCTGCTCTGCTGTGCTCACCAAATGCTTCACATGGGGGCAGGGAGGGGAGGGCCAGGAAAAACGAAAGCAGGAAAAACATGCGCTGATCTTGGGCAAGGCAAGTGTAATAAAGACACAAAGCTAAGAAATCATTTCTCTTTCAATAGGTTTTCAAGAAAGCGTTCAAATATTTTGAGTGTTCTCACACTTAACTGTGTGGTAGAAAAAGCTTTTCTTTAGATCTCACGTTTTAATAAGGAAATGGCTTCTGGCAAAATTCTTGCGAGATCTTACTTAAAAAAAAAAAAACACATGTAATTTTCCAGCAGAACACTGGGCATGACTTCTTACCTCGCTCCTCATGAGTGTTTTAACACTACATTTATGAGGACATGAAACCATGACACACGGGCAGTCTGTATCTTCGTGTTTCTACAGAGGGAAAAAGCAAACAAACCACAAATCAACTCTCACTCTGCCGTGACAGAGAGGACTCACCTGCAAAGAGAAGCATCCTGAAAAACAAACACCCCAGATCTCTTCCCCAGCGTTTATCCCAATTGTGCAAAGCGTTACAGGACTGCCATTGCTCAAACACCAGTTTATGCTTTTGATAGATATCAGATTATTTAGACCGATATTCCGAAGCAAAAATACAAGGTTTTTCTTGTGTTTTCCCATCCAGATTACATCTACTTGCTTCCCATCCTGGTGTTTTCACTTAGAGCAAACAAACAATAATAAAAGTCAAGTTTTCTCTCCCAAGAATGACTCACAAAAATGGGCACCTTTAAGAGTGAGCAGAACCACAGCAGATGGAAAAGCCCTTCAGGAACACACACTGCCCGCTCCCAGAGTACTTCTTCCCTATGTACGGATATTCCCCTGCCAATTCTTTCC